CGCCGCCTGCTGCTGCTGCTGCTGCTGCTCCTACTACCACTACTACTACTACTACTACTGCTGCTGCTGCTGCTGCTGCTACTGCTGCTGCTGCTGCTGCTGCTGCTGCTGCTGCTGCTACTGCTATGAGATTGAGATGTTACCCCTCCATGATGAGGAGGGTTTTTGGAGGGGAAAACAGGACATTTCTAGCAAAACTCGTGCTATTGGGTGCGAGCTTGCTGTGTATCGCCATGATATTTCACTCAAATAATTTTAGTGTATAATACAATAACACATATGAACAAAACACACTGAAGACTTTAAAGAACTTACCCCTTGAAACACCTCTAAATGATAACCTGCCTACACTTACAGCAACATTTAAATAGCGGCAGTGTTCTGAGCTTGCCGTGCTATCCTATTTTCAGATAACCTTTGGAGTATATCAACAAATAAAATTCATTCTCTGGTCAAAGAAATATACAAAAGAGCAGAAGGCTTCAAACAATTCATGATGAGACAAAGTACTGGTAAAATCTAAGGGTGATTCTCAAAATCCTATGAAGATATGGAATGAATGACTGAACACAGTGGCTGACTACATCTCCAAGACAATGAGTTAAATAAGCAGACATGACTTTCCCATCATGTATTCATTTCATGCATATTAGCTATATACAAATAAGAAGGTATGAACAGTAAGTGCTACTTACCAAATGTTTCTGTTGTTCTGTTAACTGATGTGATATTCCCCTCTTCATTCTCATTTACAGCACTAACAGATATTTCATATTCTACACAGGCATCAAGATTTCCTATGACAAAGGAGTATTCCTCCTTTCCAATGTCAATGCTATTAGTGTTTTCACTTCCAGTGTGTCTCCAAGATATGGCATAATGTGTAACACAGTCACCATCATTACTAGGTTTCATCCACTGCAGACTAATATTGTGTGGATTTGGTTTCAAATCTAAATCTACAACTTGCCCAGGAACTGTGAACCAAAGAATATTCTAGACAGAAGAGAAACAAACATCCAACCTATTAACATAAAAATAACTTGTATGTCGTTTTTCTCCAACTTTCCTTCTTCCTACCATTGACCTGACAGAGAACACACAAAGTTACTGTGACATTTACTTTCTTGTCAGTGTATGTATTAGCTCTGCCTCTTAATGTGATGTGTAAGGGCCATGGTAGAATATCTGGATGGGGCTTGATTCCTTATTCACACTTTCCTTCATAATTAGATTAGCACAGTTTAGTGTCGTAATATAGAAGATGTGGTGTTAACACCACACATACACGGTGCCAAATCCCAGAAGACTGCTTTCTTCATAGTCACCGCCGTGAAAGCCTCAAATCTTACAAGATATAAAATGTTGTGATATTGACAATAAAAGCAAAAATATTCATGAAATAGCATTTTGTACAAATTTCATACTTGAGAAGCGATGTCATGAAAAAATCTATGGAGTACAGAATGTTAAATGTATGAATAAGTCAAATAAGTATCAATACATAATACCACAAGAGGAGTGTCAGCTGCTGCTGCTGCTGCTGCTGCTACCCCTGCCATGACCAGGATGCCAGCGTTGGCTTTTGGAGGGGAAAATAGGGCATTTCTAACAAAATTCATGATATTTGGTGTGAGCTTAATGTGTACCAAAACGAAATGTTACCCAACTGATTATAGTGTATAATGCAATAACATATATAATCAAAATACACTGAGGACTTCAGCGAACTGTAACTTGAAACACCTCTAGATGATAATCTGCCTACCCTTATGGCAACATTTAAATAGCAGCAGTGTTCTGTTCTTGCCATGCTATCCTATTTTCTGATACCCTTTGGAGTATATCAACAAATAAAATTCATTCTCTGGTCAAAGAAATATATAAAAGAACAGAACCAATTCATGATAAGACCAAGTAAAAAGGTAAAGGTAAGAGCAAAGCTATCCCTGTAACAGGCCGTGGAGGTCCATAGGGTTGTGAGACGTTGAGGGTCCCACATCTTCTAGATAATCGGCTCATAGATGGCGGTAAGGTTGTCAGCCTTAAGCACCAGCCAACCTTTATCCCCAAGGAAGATCAAGGAACATCCCACACACTAACAGGCGGTTTCGCCAGTCTAACAGACAACACTCACTCCTAGTCACTATCACATTACCGCACGTTGCTGCCACCACTCGTATTTATACAGCACTCGATGTCCAGCCCACCTGTACATCATCACGTGTGCTAGCCAATCAGCGCTCACAATCGCAACTGCAAGTTTAAGCTCCGCCCAGAAAACATGGTATAAAAACGGAGCCCAAAAGTCGCAATCGTCAGTGATCACCAGAGCCCAGATTTTGATGACATGTCATCTTTTTTCCTTGTATCCTATGCGATGCTCTTAAATATATAAATCTTGGATATGAGCTGCTGGTTACAGGAATGTAAATTTTATAGGTAATTTTTGTCATTTTTTTTTACATTTTTAGGTTTAAGGTTATTTTTCATTTTGTGGGTAATTGTTGGACTTTCAAGGGTATTTCTTGTCACTTTTGGCCATTTTAGGGAATTTTTCTTCATATGTTCTCTGAAATGTGAATAACATGGAAGCGAAGTGTTCTTTCTTTTCTCCTTTAGGTCATACTTCTGGATTTTTTCGGTCATTTTTTAATATTTTCAGGTCATTAAAATCCGGGCCCTGTATATTACATTTTTGGGTCATATTTTAGGTAATTTTTCTGGATTCTTTCAGTCATTTTTTTAAATATGTTCAGGTCATCAAAATCCGGGCTCTGGTGATCACATTAAGTTCAGAGTGATCAGTCATCAGAGTCATCAGCTGTTCATTGAGCCAATGACAGCTGCCGAAACTCTCCAGCAACCGCGCTCTGCTACCAGACAGCTAACGTAGCTGCCGCCCCTTTCCAGCGGCCGCGCTCTGTTACTATATAGCTAATCTAGCTGCCGCAACTCTCCAGCAACCACACTCTGTGACCAGGCAGCTAACGTAGTTGCTGCAACTCTCCAGCAACCGCGCCGTAGGCAGCTGTTCCTACAGGCTCACATAGCACCACATTACCGGCCAGACAAACCAGCTGAACGGCCGTAAAAACTTGGTCTACTACAAAGGAGCAAATTCTACCAGCGCACTCATGGTGGAACAACTGCCCTTTTCAGGGCCAGCCAACTTTTGACATTCCACATAGCTTTGCAGCTATTCTGTACATTCAATTTATAAAAATTAATGTATACAATTGTTACAGATTTACATGGTTGTCTTTTAGAACATCGACAATCCCACAAGTTAAATAAGCAGACAAGACTTTCCCATCATGTCCTCATTTCATGTGCATTTCCTATATATAAATAAGATGGTATGAACAATAAGTGCTACTTACCAACTGTTTCTGTTGTTTTATTAACTGTTGTGATATTCCCCTCTTCATTCTCATTAACAGCACTAACAGATACTTCATATTCTACACAGGCATCAAGATTTCCTATGACAAAGGAGTATTCCTCCTTTCCAATGTCAATGCTAGTAGTGTTTTCACTTCCAGTGTGTCTCCAAGATATGGCATAATGTGTAACACAGTCACCATCATTACTTGGTTTCATCCACTCCAGACTAACACTGTGTGGACTTGATTTCACATCTAAATCTACAACTGGCCCAGGAACTGTGAAACAAATTATATTGTAAAGCGAAGAGAAACAGACATCCAATGTATTAACATAAAAATAACTAATATGTTGCTTTTCTCCAACTTTCCTCCTTCCTACCATGAAACCTGACAGAGAATACACAAAGATATTCTGCCATTTATGTTCTTGTTGGTGCATGTATTAACTATGCCTCTTAATGTAGAGTATCTGGATGAGGTCTGAATCCTGATTCGCACTTTTCTTCATAATTATATTAGCACAGTTCAGTGTCATAATATAAGATATAAAATGTTGTGATATTGACAATAAAAGCAAAAATATTCATGCACCTTTCCTGTTTCCTACATGGTACACTCGAACTAAGTGCAATCTAAGAGAGATCTTAAAATTCTGTGAAAAGATAGAATGACTGACTGAACTGAGTGGCTGACTACATCTCCAGGGCCATATTTGAGAATGAGTTAAACAATCAGACATGACTTTCCCAACATGTATTCATTTCATGCATATTAGCTATATATAAATAAGAAGGTATGAACAGTAAGTGCTACTTACCAACTGTTTCTGTTGTTCTGTTAACTGATGTGATATTCCCCTCTTCATTCTCATTTACAGCACTAACAGATATTTCATATTCTACACAGGCATCAAGATTTCCTATGACAAAGGAGTATTCCTCCTTTCCAATGTCAATGCTAGTAGTGTTTTCACTTCCAGTGTGTCTCCAAGATATGGCATAATGTGTAACACAGTCACCATCATTACTTGGTTTCATCCACTCCAGACTAACACTGTGTGGACTTGATTTCACATCTAAATCTACAACTGGCCCAGGAACTGTGAAACAAATAATATTGTAAAGCGAAGAGAAACAGACATCCAATGTATTAACATAAAAATATTGTATATGTTGGTTTTCTCATTGGTTTTCTCCAACTTCCCTGTTTCCTACCATGGACCTGATAGAGAACACACAAAGATACTGTTACACTTATTTTATTGTCAGTGTATGTATTAGCTCTTCCTCTTAATGTGGATGTGTAAGCGCCATGGTACAGTATCTGGATGGGGCTTGACTCCTTACTCACACTTTCCTTCATAATTAGATTAGCACGTTATAATGTCTTAATATAAGATATAAACTGTGATACTGACAATAAAAGCAAAAATATTGTGACATGTTAAACCATTGTTGGGCAACGGGATGTGGAATGAGTTACCACGATGACAGACTCTTGATAAACATTCGGTTTCCAAGTTATGCGACAGTTAGGAAAGTGGTGCTTCTACATGCCGTGCCTAGCTGAGCCAAAGTGCGCTGGTTGCTATGCAGTGCTGCCCAACAACGTCTCTGTAAACACGGCGATTATGCAACAGCGAAGCAAGATGCGTTTTCCGCTGTCTGACTGAGGGTTTATAACAGAAACTGGAATGCCGACCCCCACTGTGACCCTGCGAGTCATAGGAGGCGACGAAAATGGAAGTGTCAAATCTGAGACATTAGAATATGGTCACGAGTACCAAGTGACTCAGACCCAAGAAAGACTGCGCTGGCAATGGTTAGCAGCATATACAAAGACAGACCTTCCTCTCATCAGAGAGAGTGCCCCACAGAAACAAGACCGTAACTGTCAATCGGTACTAAATATCTGGTCCTGAGCCCCATATGAGGCTTGGAACCAAGACTTAATTACTGACTGACTGACCATCAGTTGCAATGTGACTCTGACTTTAATTTTGACCTAGGAGTCTGTTGAAATGTAGCAGCCGCCAAAGACAGTGTCAGTTAGTATTTGGAGTATTCGGCAAGTATTTGGAGTGAGTGCGAGACAGCCGCAGGAAGATGAATGGAACGCGTGTTATACTGAAGACAGTGTGAAGAGATTAGTGTGTAGGGTTTGTAAATTTTGTAGAAACGTAGCACTGTTATAAATGATTGTGGTTACAACTTGTAGGTTGTTAATAAAACCAATTAACATTCTGAACTGCGTCTTCAGTAGACAATATTCACGAAATTTTCTGTCTACTACCATGTTAGAGTGATATAAAAGGGAAAAGAAGATAACAGCGATGCCATGAAGAACCAATGTAGTACAGAGCGTAAAAGGTATGAATAAGTCAAGAGTATTCAGTTACATATCAATATGTAATATGTAATACCACTGCTGCTGGTACTGGTATTTCTACTACTACTACTACTACTACAACAACAACAACAACAACAACTACCACCACCACTACTACTTTATAAGTTATCAATCAGATGGCATTGGCACATTTTATGAATGTAGAAAGATATAATTCCAATAAAATTTCTCTCATGAAACAAATAGGAAAGGATCCAACAGGAAGACTGATATCAAATTGGGAACAACAGAGTAGGAAATATGTCATACAAATTGAAGAATTTTATATCAGTACCAGAATATGTGAAGAGTTTTCTTCAGGATCCGACTGCCAAAACAACTAGAGAACTACTGCAACTAAATAGGAAGTAGTTCGCACAGTGGTAAACTACGATCATCAGTAGGAGCCTGTCACTGGAGTGTACAGCAACTATGGCTGGAACATGCAACTGTTCCCTGCAGTAGATCTCATGAGGAACAAGTTACAGCCTTACATATTCTATGTGACTGTCATGTCATAGAGGAATAAGATTTCATCGCTTAGAAACTCACTCCGTGGAACCAAGTGCATGTCATGAAGTTTCATTAAGCAAAGTTTTGCTCATCATTCAAGGTGCAGAAGTACTGGATTGCTAAACTGTACAAAGAGTATTCACAATAGATCAAAGACAATAGAGGTGTGTGTGTGTCATTTCAGGCTCACCCCTTTAATATTGTAACGTGTTTCGTTACTGAAGACGCCGTAGAGATTGTTAATTGGTTTATTCAACAACCTACAAGTAACGGCTACGATTAATTATTACACAGTTGCGGGGTTTCACACTTTATAACCCTATGCGCAAATCAGTTCACTCTCTCTTCAGTAGTCGCTCGCTGACTTCTTAGTTATCGCACACTCGCAGGCTGCTACCTTGAGAACGGTTGACAACACACTCGCTCGTAGGCTTGCTCAGAACTAACTCGGAGACTGCCACGCTACAACTCGACTCGGCGACTGTTACTCCACAACTCAACTCGCAGGCGCTGTGCAGCTCACTTATATAGCCGCAGTGTTGCCTGTTGCGTGCCATGTCAGTAGGAAGCGGTTCCGCGTCACCGTGTGCGTCACCGCGCGTTGCGCGTTGCATAGCTACCAGGTTGCGGGGGCTCGGCTAACTTCGGCTCCGCTCGTGACGTCACCGCGGGGAGAGTGGCGGGGTGATGACTCGCCTATTACGCGAGCGCTACGTTGCCGCTACGTGCCGCTGGGGAGGTAAGGGTCAACATGTCACACTATAATAAATTTTTAACGTAATTTTCATCATCTTTACTGTCATCAGTTAAGACCTGAGTGTGTCTACAGCTAATACAATTCTGTCTGAACTACTTCCTATTCAGTTCCAGTAGTTCTCTGATTCTTGTTTCATTTCATTTCATTTATTCATTTTACCATAAATCCATATAGAAAACAATTTCATAGGATATGGAAATAGTCACAAATAAAGCAGTACAACATACTTGTACATATAGTCATGCACATCAGAAAGTACATAATAGAGTAAGCATCAACATGCACATTACTTAATCATCATCATCAGTAATCTGTCAGGACGACAGGTCCACAGTCTCTTCCAAAACAATTCCTCCATTTAATGCGATCTAGAGCTTTCTCCTTCAAATGACAGTATCCTCTTCTGTCCCCAAGGTCATCCAGCATCTTCTTACGTCTTCTTCCTCGTCTTCTTGTCACTTCTATCCGCCCATCTATCTTTCCTTCGATAACTTCTTTTAGAAGGCAGTTTCTGCGTAAAACATGACCAATCCAATTAGCCTTCCGTTTTCTTATTTCATGTAGGATATTCCTCTGCTCACTGACTCTAATTAACACTTCTTCATTTCTCACATAATCGGTCCAA